TGCCCCGTGTCCAGTCACTGTCCCGTGTCCAGTCACTGCCCCGTGTCCCGTCACTGCCCCGTGTCCCATCACTGTCCCCAGCCGCGGTGCCCCCGGCCAAGGAGCTCTTTGTGTGTGACCTGAGGCTCCTGGAAGGGACAGGAAGCCCCGCGACTGGGGCTGGAGACCGAGGGAATGGGGCATTCACCTGCTGGTCACCCCACAGCCGTGCTGGCCCCACCAAACGCCTCTCCTTTCCAGCCGCATCATTAAACCATAAGCAGCCACTCAGAAGCCCTCGAAAAAACTCCCCATTTCCCTGGGCCGTGGTGGAACAGCAGCTGCCAAAGCTTAACCCGACAGAGCACTCGGCAACAGCTCCACCTGCCCCGGGGTTTGCTTTGCCCGGCACGGTCTGAGCGTGAGGAACTCCGGGAGCACAACAGCATGCAAGATACCCAGTGTAGAATGGAGAAATAAGCTGTTTACACCAACAGGTGTCATTATTTTATTTCATTTTTGCTTCATTTCAAAAATAATTAAGGGACACTATAACCAGCAGTAGGCACATCAGTGGGGTTTGCAGTTTGAGTCTCTAAAGACCAGATCTCTCATGCCAACTGCTGTTACAGGCACAGCCAGAGTGAGCCACTGGTCTCAACAACTCTTGGCTTCAGGATGAATATCTCAAAAGCATTCAGGGCCCCAGTCTCACTTAGCTGAAGTCAGTATTAAAACTGCAAGAAGATTAAAAGGAATGCAAACAGGATAAAATAGGTGGGCTTCTAAACATTCCCTCCCTCCCTCAGAAGAAGAACATTGGAAAAGATGCATCAAGCAAGAAGAAATTTTCTTTCTCTTTTACTGATGGGGAAACCATGGCAGGAGAAGACTAAGTCACTTAGCCAAAGATTCTAAGGCAGAGAAAACTGTATTTCTGCATTGTCTTAGTCCAGTACCTTAACTGTTCACTGCCCACCTCTGTCCTCACCTGACCCAACACAACCAGAAGCATCGTGGGAAGTGTGGCTGAAATACTGTAGCATAGGAGGGATCAAGCTCTGTAGCCTTTAGGACCTTGTGAGCCATTCGAGTCAGTTCTGGTCACTGTAGTTTATGATTTCTTTAATCTACCAAACCAGAGCCACGTCCAGCTCAGCAAAGCAATCAACATCATGCTAAAGAGTTCAAAGCATTAAAAAACCCACAAGATTGGTTCTTTAGGAACACAGGCAAGTGTCTGATAGTTCAAGTCCTGCTTTGGACTGCAGTCAGGATCAGATGTCTGCTCTGGGTATCACAAACCACAGGGGCTTGGCACATCATCCCCCCAGAGGAGGAGGGTCTTCAGTCTTGGGATGTTAATCATTGTCGTAGGGGTTTCTTGAAGAAGACACCCAAGGGTCAACCTGCTGGTGCAGTTCTCGGGTGGTGCTCCGGGCTTCAGCGGTCATCCTCCGAAATTTCTGCAGGTAAACGATGATGAAGATAACCAAGATACCCTGGAGGAAAAGGAGGATGAAGAGACAGAGCTGAGAGAGGAGAGCCAGGCTGCAGTACCAGTACTGGCACGTGGAGTTGACCTCGTCCTCTGTCAGGTAGGCAATGACCCGGTGCTGCAGGTGCCTCGGGGAGCTGCACCTCACATCCCGGTACAGGGTGCGGTTCTGCTGCCACTGCAGCCAGGAGCGCAGGTACAGGATGTCACAGGTGCAGTCCCAAGGGTTGCCCTGCAGGTACACTACCTGCAGGCTCTTCAGGTTGTCAAAGAGCCCACTGGGAATAGAGGTGAGCCTGTTGTAACCGAGGTGGATAATTTCAGCTGAAGGACGGAAGGCAGCGGGCAGGTTTGCTACAGTGAGGTCTTTTGAGGTGCAGTCAATAATGGTGGTGGTACACTTGCATGGCACAGGGCAGGTGGGTATCACGAGCGGGAGGAAGCCAAGCAGGGACAAGAAGAGAATTCCCCTGTTCATCTTCACCTGCAAACACTTCCCTGGTGAGACTGAATGAGGTGAAGACCAGGCAAGTAGACACCACACACTCCAGGACTGACACCACAGCCCCAGGTCTTTTGTTGGTTTGTTCTGAGGATGAGTTCCTAAAGTTGGGTGAATTTGGTGTCCTTCACAGGAGGTGCAAGAGCTCTGAAAAGAACAAAGTTAAAAGAGATGTGCAAAATTCTGGTCTCTCTTTACAGAAGAGAGAATGTTCCTGGTCTTCCAACTCTGTATTTGAGGAGGGATATGAACACATAGCTACTGGGAGCCATCAAATACATTTTCACTAGTCCTCCAAAGTGTACAAGAGCTGCTTCTATTTTCTGCATTAGTGGAGGTGAATTACTAGAGTAGCCAATAAAATTTCCATCAAGGAATCAAAAACTAAAATATGAAACAGCTCATGCCTTATCATAGCTCTGAATTACACCTGTAAGCAAAGCTTTGTTCATGCAAACTGTAAGAGGAGATTCAGAAATAAATTTACTGTTACCACAAGCGAAAAATAGCCTTTCCAGCCTTGGAAAGAAGTGATAAACAGTCCTTGGCCACAGAAAGGGTACTGATCACTGAGGGTGGAGGTCAGTGGAGTTTTCCATGGTAGTTTTGCTCCAGCAGGTGAATAATCTCCTGGAGCTGTGACTGTGCTGCAAGACATGGGTCAACGAGCTGTCTTTACATTACAGCCTCGTGCCACTGTTGAGCACATGAGCTGCTATAATTCTCCAGGAGAACAACTACACATACCTGCAACAAGGCAGTGCTTCCCTGTGCTGTCAGCCAAAGAGGAAAAAAAGAACAGAAGGTAACTGTTGACTTACCAGAGAAGTACAATCTTTGCTTTCTCGCTGGCTTTACAGGACAAGAGGAAGGTGTTCAGGCAGCCCAGCCAGTGCAGAGTGTGCCCTGCAGAGCTGAGCTCCCGGATAATGCCCTCCCAGCTGGCTGGCAAGATAAGGGTCCGGCTCATCCCCGGGACCTCCCACACGAGGCCTCCCCCACGTCTGCTGCGTGTCAGGGAAGCTGATGCTCCCCTGAGCAAGTCTTCCACAGCACAGGAGCTGGCACTGCCACGAGAACACGTTTGCTGGGATGCTGATGGTACTGATAACTGTGATTCTGGGCCTGGCACAGACACTGCACAGTCTCATGGCACAGCAACTCAAAATGCACCTCAACCTGCAAGGTGGCGTTACTGGTTTGTACCACACTCCCTGAGCACTGTGGCCTTTGGTTTCCCATCTCATCAGGAAAGCTGCACTTGGCAGAGGGGTGAGAACTAGCACTTTTCCAGGTGCTGACCCTCAGGTTTCCCTTAAACAGGGGCACAAATCTACTCCTACTTAGTAGTGAAAGATCTGCTGATAGAAATGAGAAAGACTGACCACGTGCTTTATTCAGAAGCTGCATTACACAAATACTCGAACAGGTAAGTCCAAGGGTCAAAATACATTTAGGTAGAATCTTGTGTTCTCATGGCCATCACACCTTCACAGACAATTTTGTGCCACCAGCCTGACCAGGCATTCACTGTGCTCCTCAGGCTAAGGCCACCAGAATTATGTTGTGAAACTGTTGCCCCACCGAGCACAACTCTGTTACCTTGTCCTGTGCACATCACACAGAGCAGAAATGATGAATGCCCTGAATGTGGTCATGTTGAGGAGAACTGAGGGTGAAAACAATGGCAGGATTTGGCCCTAGGGAAAATTTTTGATGCTCTAAAGAAAACAATTAAGCTTTAAATTTCTATGAGGTTGGGGCAGATCATTCCACTATGGTGGGCAGGCAGAGAGGGAAAGAGATCTTAGGTAACAAACCAACCCAGTTTTTCCTGCAGGGCACGCTTTCCACTCGGGAGCAGCTCAGCTGCTGCAGGTTGGGTTTGCTCAGCAGACCTACCTCGTCTCGTGCCTTTGGTGCTCCGTTTATTCGCAGGCAGGCGTTCAGAGCTGAGCCAGAGCCAGGCCCGCTGTGCTCTGCAGGCAGCACAGACCTGGCAACTCCTCTGGCTACTTACAAACTGCAGTGCCTGGACTGGATCCTGCCCAGCTGCCCAGTGCTCAGTTAGACAACACTCCTAAGGGAAGCCTGAAGACAGAAGAACTTCAAGATCAGCTTGCTAGCTTCTGGCACAACCGGGCCAGAAATCCCATGCAGGAAGTCCTGCCTGGAGCCTGTTCTGACAGAATTAGATAAAAGGAGAAACAGGGTGAATTTTGCTCTCTCCTGCCAACAATGCATCACCAGTGCTGCTGAAGAGGGCTGAAAATCAAACAGAAAGAGGTTGGTTTTTTGAATGTATTTATTTCACTGATCAATTCAGGTAGTAAACATTAATAATAATAACAATAATCATTTAATAAAATGGATACGTTTTAAAAGGTTTCATTTTTCTTTGTTCACAATGACAAAATGTTCAAACAGAAATTTACAAAAAAATATAATTATAATAACCCAAGAGATGGACAGGAAACAAAGAGCCTAGGAATGGAGCAGGGGGTGAGGAAGGTGTGTGGCAGGAGCAAGCCAGCGTTACAGCACAGCGGAGTCTGTGAGGAGGAGCAGGGAATGCCATAGCAGAGCACGAGGAGGGGGATCCCTCCCTGGAGAGGAGCATGCAGGAGGCTGCAGGGACTGCACAGGACCAGCACAGCAGCAGCACACGAGGACATCACGCCCTGGCTCCATCCCCAGGCAGGCACAGGGCTGAGGGGGACCCAGAGCCCACTGCAGCCTGGGGCACCCTGAGAGTGGGACACCACCCCTGCAGCCCCCACACAGCAGGACAGAGCTGGGCAGAGGCACGGGAACGTGCCTGGGGAGCAGGGATCACATTGAGGCTGGGGAGGGTTGTGTGAGGGGAGGTGTTAAATTACTTTCCTATCCACACTTCTCGCTGCCAGAGCCAAACAGCCAAGCCACACGTGTTCAGGAGTCTCTTCTCTGCTTACTGGGTGACTTGATGCCACAGTACCCCTTTCATAAACAGATGCCACCTTCCAGGCACCTCCCTGGTGCCCCCCAAAATCAGTCTGTAATCCCTTTCCAAGCAGCCCTCAAACTCTGGCCCTCTGTAGGGAGCCTCCTACACGGAGATGTGATGTCAGTGGTACCGCTGCCCCTCTGCAGAAGCCATCCCTGGTGCCTCACTCCTGTGTGCTTTTTCCTAAATGCAACTTGAACCATCTTTGCCAGCTGGTAGCCAAAGACTTCAGCTCTCTGTAGAGGACAGACTTGTGACTATCAACTTGATGTAGGAGCCACGTGCACTGAGCTGATGGAGACTTCCTCACCCAGAGGGACAGGGGCAGATCCACCCTCAGCAACCCTGCCTGCCTGTGACCAGTGTACCTGTACTGTCACCAGCACACAGCACCTCTGTGCACAGCCCAGCATAAGAGCTGGCAGCTGCTCTATGTCCTTGCTAAAGGGAAAAAGTCTCCTTTATCTTCTAGGAATAAATCTGTTTGAAGGAGGAACATCTCCAGCTGGACAGGGCTCATTTGCAACAGAACATCCTCCTCACTAACGAGACTAGTGCAAGAAAAGAGGGGACAGGTACTTGAAGGTGTTCCCTGTTACACTAGCACAGAAAGCTGAGAACTCAGGAGACCTGCAGCTTTGACTAGAAGCAAACCAGCTCCAGAAAAGCTGGGAGGAAGGTTTCCAGCCACTCCACTGCTGAAGTAAGCACACTGCACAAAGAACAGTTTGTTTCCTCCTTAGGCACCTTGGTCCTGCACGTTATTGAAGCCAAGCTGAATCCTTCTGCTCTCCTAAGCTGGCACTGCCACTTTTGAGCCCAAAATAGGGGAGAATGAAAAAACCAACATTGTTAGACACTGCCCAGGTTGCACAGTTCTGCCAAAGGGCTTCCACCCTCACTCTGTCCTTCCACAGGGTGCCAGGGTCTGTCCCCTGCCCCTACAGCCCATGGCTAAGCAGAGGCTCTGTACAGTGAATAACTGGAACCAGCCAACCTACTCACCACCTCGACAAGCCCTGACCAGGACTCTAAAGCCCCATGGAGGAATCAGACAAATGCAGTGCCTAAGAACAGAATTTAGGGCCTGGCTATAGCTGGTCAACACTGCGCTTCCTACCCAGGGAGATCTACTGGGGAGATCCAGAGATGGAGGAGCAGATACAAAAGGGGAAAGGGGAGAGAGGAATCAGCCAAGGAGCAGAAGGGTCCAGCCCATGGGAGCACTCCCTGGAGTCAGAGAGAAGAGCCAAGTGTCTCTCCTCAGCAGCCCTGATTCCTGTGAGCGTGGCAGTGTTGCTGCTGAGCCCTGCCCTGTCAGGCACATCACACTCCAGGGCTCTGCTCTGGCTGGACTAGAGTTAAAAATACTGCAGGAAGCAAGAACAAGACAGGAGCTGCTGCTCAAAGAGTGCTCTTATCTCTGCCCAGCAGATCCACCAGCCTTCCCAGCATTAAGACAGGAAGAGCCTTGGACTAGGGAGGGGGAGAAGGGCTGAGTCCCAGGGGAAGGGCAGGGGAGTAAGTGCCAAGTCTGGTGGGCTGTGCTGAGCCCCAGGCAGTGACAATCCTACTCCTGCCACACTGATGGAACACCTGCCTGGACAGGCAGCCTGCAGATCTTAAGTACAAGCCTACAAAACCTTCCCCCAAGAGAAGCTCAGAGCAAGCAGTGTGCTCTGCAGAGCCTGGGGACAGGACACAGGTCTGCATTTGGGTTGGGTTTCAGCCCTAGAGTTTCTACTCCAAAGCAGTCCTGGCCAAGCACTCTGGCTGCCACGGTGCTTTCCAGAGCAGACACTGAAGACACACTGCAGCTGGATGACCAGAGCTAAACCAAGAGATACCCTCACCCAGCTACTGCAGGGCCCTGGGGTTCATCTACCAACACCTCCAGCCTGCCAAGGAAGGAAACCATGGCAGTGAAGGTGCTCACTCCCATCAAGTCCTTGCAGGGAATAAACAACTCATCCTCTCTGCCAGAAAGATATAACTGAGAGTCAGAGAAGCGTTTTCTTCTAACCAGCCTTGAGAGACTCAGTCCCTTGCTGCTCAGTGCAAATATCCTGGAGCTTCTTGACAGGAAGAACAAAACCAACCAACTAAACAAAAAAACCATAAAAACCTAGACAGGAAACCAGGCAACCATCAGTACTCCCGAGCAGGTCAGCGCACAGAGGAACCCCCAGCCCAGCATTCTGGGCCAGAGCTGCCCCCAGGCTGAGACACCTGAGCAGGTCACACTCACAGGAGGGTCCAGCTGCCTTTACAGTGCTGGCCCCAGACAAGGGCAACAGGGACAGGGGCACAGCACCTCACTTGGGAGTAAACATTTACGTGCATTGACACAGAGAGTCTTTAAGTTTGTACACCAGAGAAACCAGGACTTTAAATACCAGAGCATTCCTAAACAAGAAATTAGTACATGGGAAAGGAGGATCTTTTTCTTTTCTTTTTTTTAGGATGCCTTAGAGACTTACCAGGCTAGTTTCTTAAAAAAAAAAAAAAAGAAAGAAAAAAAAGAAACAAAAGAATATTAAGAAAGAAAGAAATACACTTCAGTAAACTGTTAAGTGAACAGCCTCCTCCACAATCCAGCTGGCCGAAAAGCCAACATTGCTGCTAATAAATTAGAGGGTGCGGGTGCAGCTCTTGCCCACGAGTCTCTATACAACAGGAAACCTTTTCTAAACGTTCACAGCTCTTGCCAGGTCTTGTGGTCACTGGGGGATTCCCTCTGCCCTCCGGGTACCTGCCTCTCACTGATCCTGCATCTGCTGCTGCATCTTCTGCAGCATCTCTTGCATCCGCCGTAACTGCACGAGACAGAGGAGAGAGTCAGAAAGGGACCTGCTGATCCTCGCTGGGGCAGCCCTTGGAGCTGGCAAGGGATCCCTCAGGGAGCATTAACTCCTGCTTGAGCACAGAGGCACCTGTACCTGGGGTGGAATGTGGCCACATCTCCCTGACAGGAAGCTGCAGCTTTCCCACCCTGCCCCCAGGAGCCCAGGACGGGGGGAGGCAGGAGGGGGAAGGCTCAGGACAGCCTCTATGGGGCAGCCCTGGAGAAACACCTGAGACTCCAGCTCCAGCACCAAGGAGGTACAGGCAGAAACGGGTCTCACCTCCTCATCCTTCATCTTGATCAGCTTTTCTGTCTCAGTGTCTGGTGTTGGCAGAGGCAGGATAGGAATGGGGCTCTCTATCCTGTTGTCCTGGGTCAGCTTGCTGGAGAGACGGAGAGAGGCAGAAACAGAGTCAGTCGTGGTTCAGGCTGGCTGGTTTTGGTGTCACCACATAGGGACTGTCACTGCCCGTGGCAGACCAGCCAGCAATGCACCAGCATTCACCCAGCCAGGTGGAAGAGCTGGGGGCAATCCAGCCCAAAGTTGTGGGATGCACTTGGATACAAAATGCAACCAGTCAATGACAGTTTTCAAAATACAAGTGTGTGGGTAGCTAACAGAAAATCCAAACCAGGCTTACACTGAGAGCAAACGCAGAAGAGGCTGATATTTCCAACCACCTTTTGTAATTGCATTGGCAAGCTGAGCAGAGATATTAAGAGACAATTTATCCAGCCTCTTTTGGCTCTTCTGTCCGTGTGCCTACACACACACGCAGCATCAACACAAACCATCAGCATCCCTCCTGCACCACATGCTCACCGTGAGCCTTTTTTTTCCAGGAAGATAAAACCAGAGGAACAGTTTGATTGCTGCAGGTCTAGTAACAAAGCCTGCCCTCCTATTCAGGAGGTGGGAGGCAAGAAACAACAGCGTTGCTGTGAGGGCTGGGGGTGCACACAAGTGCAGGCAGGGGACAGAGAAAGCAGGTGACTTTCTTCCAGAAGTCAGAGGAGCTCTCAGTAGGTGAGGAGGGGATGACAGCAGCCACTGACATCTGGGCTGAAATTGGAACTTCGAGATGTCACTTGCAGGTGTTCACCACTTGGAGTCACCGCTGCCTCACTACTGAGACAATTCCAGCCCTGGAGCTTGGGGTCTGCTCCCAAAAGGACTCTCTAGAAAGGGCCCTGCTCTGGTTTTATGAGACTTGTTCACTGGCATGGAACTAACCATGGCGTGAGAAATGGTACCAAACTGAAGCTCCTCCTGAGCTTAGCAATTGCTTCTGCATCGTGCTCTTCTTTTAATAGACACACAGCCCACCTAAACA